TTTTTTTTTTTTTTTTTTTTTAACTAACTACTAAAGAAGCAAAGGAAAACCACTGTAAGGAAATGAAATGAAAAAAAAAATGAGAACAGGGTGCACAGTTTAAAACTATAAGATTCTTGTTGCTAGGGAATATTGGCACTGTCGATGATTTTATTCCTATTGCTCAAAAGTTAAAATGGAGAAATATTTTACGCAAGTATTACAGAGCAGAAAAACAATAATAAATTAAATAGTGAATTGAACATCACAAGAATAAAGTGAGCCAGTGATCTTAGGATGTGAAATGATCATTGAAGATGCCCATGTTAGAACCATTTCTATTCTAGCATAATAAATCACAGCAGCCATAATATCTTGTGGTCTCCACTAACTCTCTTCTGCTATTCTATCTGAAGGTTATATTTATCTATTTTTAAATTAAAGTTTAATGAAATTAACCAGACAGATGCTTCCCCTCTATCTCTTAATTCAGATAAGAAAAAAGAACAAAAATAAACCATCCTTAACCATACAAAATAAGATGTGCATACTTCTTTCCTTGTGCTTCTGAGATAGGCTCCTTTGCACATATGAGAAACAAGTCATCTGCACCTTCAGCATCCTCCCTACCTTACTGACATGTTCTTACAACACAATAGCAAATTATTTTAGAGTACCTTGTCTTTAACACAACTCATGGCCATTTTATTTAATATTGATCTTTCTATTTGAGAGATCAAAAGCATGCACAGGTCAATTCTCTGCACATGAGAAAAAGCTTTGCTTGTGTTTAATGAAAAGGAAGGGATTTCACCATGAAAGAAGAGCCGAACACAATCAGAGACAGAAGTGGTTCTGAAGAACACCCATCAACACTTCTATTACAGACACATAAAACCTTCATTTGTTCCATGTTGTCTGAAGCTGCAAAAGGCCACCTGCAGGAATTCCAAAATGTGTTCCCAGAAAGGTAGAACTTGTGCCCACATGCATTCACATTGTTGTGGCAGCCCCAAATGCAGGGCTGGCCAAAGTGGTAGGAGGAGGCCAGGTTGGGGGTTATCTTAAGATGAGTTCCATTCTATGTTCTCCGATTTCACAGACTGTCTTTTGTTAGAGTGCAACATATTCTACCAATGGAAAAACATATATTTTAATTTACCTTCCAACACAGTTTCTGGGAAGAACTTTTGTTATCATTAAACTATAATAGTATAAACCTTAAAACATATACAATATTTGTTTTATTTTGGCAAAATTAAAGCATCTTTTTAAAAAAATGGCAATCCCAACATACAGGGCTTTCTTAGAAAGCAACATGCATCGTATCTTGAATAAGTTACCCAAGCGGTTTCTCCCTCCTACAAACAGACACAGAGGAATCTGTGGTTCTGGGAACTTCTCTACTCTATGTCCAGGCTGCTCCCTGAGAGGTAAGGTCTGAACCCACCAAGAAGCAGGACAACATTCGAGGCTTGGACTGCAGATGCTTCTTTAACACCTTTTGCTCTGCCCAGAGCAGACGAGTATCTATTGGCCTTCGGCGGAGATGCTTCCTTTACCCTCATATCAGAGTTTAATGTCCTGAGACTCTGACATTTTGGCAAGTGTCTTCTTAACACGCAGGGCTGTCAGCCTTGATGCAGGATTGTGAGCCCAGCACTCTGTCATGAGTTTCCCCATCTGCCTTAGACACTGTGAAAAAGAGGAGGAATGTTGGAATAATGTTTAAGAAATATATTATCTGCAAAGCTGGCACTTGATATTTGTCTTTCAGTTTTGGGTTCATAAAATCTGAAAATAATTTTTAGACGTACCCTTAAAACTACATAGTAACAAAATTCCATTAAAATTCCTTCTTATGTAAAATGATAATCACTCAAAAAGATTTTCAGGTCTTTCTTGAAATAGGAGCAAGCAAATGTTTTGCTGATGGTACAGTACAGGGTCTATTTGAAGAAGTTTTGAATATTAAGCAAATATACAGACACCAAGGAAGTCTGTGTTCTATACCACACTCCCAGATTGTTTATAAACTTGATAAGTTTAAATATTTCATCTAATTTTATAATATTCAAACAAACATGGTTATTCCTAAACCACAGTTGCCTGCTACGATATTAGCATCACACTGTACCATTTAACAAGATTAATGACCTGTGCACAGCATCACTAAAACTTTCTCCTGTGTTCTCCTATGCTACATCAATCATTGGTCTTCTTATTGAAAAGCACAATTTCACTTCATCAGAAATACTTAGTGAAGGGATTCCAAATAACATTGACACCCATAACTACCTTTGAAATAATGTAACTCCAACATTTCAAAATGCTTTCTGCACAGTTCATTGGAAAACATTTATATTATTTATCATTTCAGTGACTACATGCAAAGCCAATAAAACAAAGATTATTTTTCTAAGAATTTTACACTGAACAATTAGTTCATAGATAGTACTCTGCCTGCTTGATTGCATGGGGTTTGGTTCAATTTTGATAAGAGTCTCTTTTATTTCTCTGGGTGTACTTCAAATTCATCTCCAATGTTCCAGCATGCTGGAGAACTCCAGGGTTTGGATGAGTCGAAGGACAGTGAGTGAAGGAAGCACAAGGGGCAGAGGAAACAGAGTCAGAAAGGCATATCCTGCCCAATGTCCTTTCTGTTAGCTCCTTTCCAGAAACATCTGGGTTTTACCAGTAAGCCCTCGGAGCCAAACTGAATATGGATTTGTTCAAATCATATCTCATCATCCTTATTAACACAGACACTCGGTCAGGCAGCTCAACTAGAACAACTTGTACCACTTCACTGTACAGAAAACTCAGCTCTTCAGATACCTGCCTTTTCTCTCATCCAAATGGCAGAAAGCTATTTCTGGGTTTGTTATGAAGAAAAAAAAAATCATGATGCTTAAAGTATATTCATAAAAACAGATAATAGCCTTTAGGCAAATATCAAGACTTCATAAATAAATGATATAATGTTATCTATTTTGTAGGCTCAATGTCGACCCACCCAATATGTTCTGGAAGCGGCAAAATAAAATTGGAAGAAATGAACGGAAGATTCAGCACACTACACATAGCTCCATATAAATTATTGAAGTAAGGCAGCATTATCATCATCATCAAAACAAAGAAGAATGACATTGAGGGAATACTTGGAATTAGAGGAAAAGTCTGTTGAGACGACCATGGAACACACAGTGACCTCAGGCCTTACCTCATCACTGCTCCAGCGATTGGGGAATGAGGGCCGTGACTTCTTGATGCACACAATCTCTCTCATGTCCTCGTAAGAGGGGTCAGTGGGCACCAGGTCATGATAGGGAAGCTGGTATTCTTCCACTATACCTGAAAATATGTTTTCAGTACTATTATTTTCTGTAAAGTGGGGGGGGGGAAAACTCTTAACAGACAAACTGTTCTCAAAGAAAATGACTATCAATTTTAAATACAAGTTTAGGCCAACAAACAACAATAGATCTTGGGGGTGGGAGGAAACCTTATCCAAATGATTCTCAGCCTAACTTACAAAAAAATAAAACACCCAGAAGAAAATACTTTCATAGATCTTCAAGCTATTTTGCTATTTTTTTTCTAACTTCCAAATGCTAAGTGAAATGAACATATCAAAATTTCCAATTTTATAAAGACCAAATCTTTAAGACATTTATATTAAATCAATGCAAATTTGAAAATTTGAAAATTCACATCTTGAATTCATACTACATAATATGTGACTGTTTCTATTACTGTAATTTGAAATTAGGAATATCATAAGTTTGGTTGCAAAATGTCAGACATATTTTTTTCTGCTTAATCATAAGAATGGAGTTTTCTGCACATTAAATATTTGGAAAGTTGTATATATACTGAAAATCTAAAGATTGTCTAATTTTTATTTTCTCTTTATTTTTTTCTGTATATACTCCTCTATTTTATCTTTCCTAATAAGTAATTTTTACTTTTTTCAATCTGTCCTTTAAAAAAGGCTACTAGTGTCTTTCTTTTAACGTTATCTGATGAACTCCTCACAATAATGCTAAGCAGCTCCTGTTCTCAGAGGATGAATGGATTCTCTTCTGAAAAATCTTTCCAGAGCACCGTTGCTCCCTATCCTAAATCACCTTTTATAGAAATGCTACTGCTTTTCACCTGACAAAGATGAAACCATCAAGTTGGCAGATTTTACGCCACATCAGAAAATCCACTGGAGGTTCACTGTGGCAAAACCTGGGTGTGTGTTATGCTCTTTTTTTGTAACCTCAAACCCATTCAAAATCCTAAAAGTCCATTCCAACCCACCATTTGTTCTTCATTTGTGCCCCCCTGCTGTGACAACTAAGCCTCTTACATGCATTAACTATGTTTCTATTTCCTTCCCTGTTTCTATTTCCTTCCTTGTGCTTCTTTATCATCTCAGCATAAAAGATAATAAAGGCACAGGGTCAGACACATAGGAGATCAGCTTCTTTTCAATTTTTCCTCCCTTTATGACTATGAAGCCAATGGTCCTGCAAACATCTTGAGGGCAACCACCAGATGGACTTGATTCATCTCACATTTCCCTCAGTGTCTAATGGTGGTGCCATTGCTTGGATGAATTGATGGATGGATGGATGGATGGATGGTGAGGCAGGAATATAAACTACAATAGACACCCGCAGAATCAATCATACAAAATTATGAGTCAATCAAATTCTGGCTTTGAACCATAGACCTTACTTCTTTCTCTTTATCATGTAACCAAGTTATCAAAATTTCCATGTGAGCTGCCATTTAATTTTGTGGTTTATTTTCTCTTTCCCCACCACTTTCTTCTCAAGTTTGAAAGGCCTACATCTGGTTATGTCTCCTTCACCCCAGATTTCCTGAACTAGAAAGACAAACTCCCCAGTCTTCCAATATCTTCATAAAACTTCAAAATGTTACAGAACAAAAATTACTGTGCTTTGCCTCTCTGGAAAAGAGAAAAGAAACACATTGTTTTGAGAGCCCACTTAGACCAAGCATGCAGGTAGGTATGCTATATAATTCATCTGATTAAATTCTCACAAACACATTCATGAGAAAGGATTACTACACACAAAGAGGAAACTTGGTTCCTAGGGCTTAAAAAACTTGCTTAAGGCCATGCAGTTGGCCTGAGGCAGAGCAGGGACTTTTTCCTCTGAGAAACAAGTCAATCTCCTGCAGGGATATTTCTCAAACCTCTACCTGCAAAGACAACCCAGGCAAAGCAATTAAGACCCTGCTGTGCACATAAAACTAGTTTGTTTCTAAAGCTGGGGATCATTTCTTCTCTATTTGACATAAGGCTTTTCAAACCTAGACTTCTAGTTTGTAGACCTATTTGCTTTAGATGTTCAGGAAAACAAACAAAAGTAGAAAGTCATCTTGTACTCTACTATACCTTTAACATCTATAAAACTATTCTAGTTCAGTGCAAGCAGATTATTCAAAAATAAATTCCCCTCCTACTTACACAGCATGAAATCAAGGCAAAAGCAATTAATCTATTTATGTTTTGGCTACTTCTCTTCTTCTTCATACTTACAACAGGAGATTTAGTCAATAGCTGGTTACAGTAAATTTCTTGTATTCACTTTCCTTTGTACAAACAGTTTTCTCATTTCAAAGGGAATGAGTTCTATTTCAAATTGCTTATAAAAGGTTCAGAATTCCCAAGGTGATTAGAAGGCACTGCATTATTGAAGGTGATCTTTCTACATCTATATGTACAAATGTTTATCCATTAACTGTTTCTTGCTTTTATTTAATTTAAATACAAATCTGCATGTATTATGGCTCCACCAACCAAAAAGAAAATTAATAGTATGTATTGCTAATAGAGTGCCATTTATGTGCCAGGCGGTTTTAATTCTCTTTACATTCATTGAAACATCACAACAGTCTGAGTTACATACAATAATATGCCTCATTTTTAATAAAACACTGAATCAAAGAAAAGTTTAGCAACTTTCCCAAGATGTCCCAGATAATAAAGAGCAGGTAAAGGAACAATTCCCAGTAATAGTTATATGTACTTTCACAACTTGGAGCAAGTTCATGATTACATGAAGCATTTAAATTGGCCATGTAGAGGAACCACAGCAGCATCAACCCTTTTTCAGGAGCACAACCATGTGCAGAATAATTTACAGTGTATATTTTGTACTTGACTCAGAAGAGGATAACACTCTTTACCTAAAAGGAATCAGAATCTTCTAGAAGATGATAAGGTAGCAGTAAACGAAAACAGCACAACCAGTAATACTTCTGAATATATAAGGATATCTTTTTGATATCAACTATAGTTGGTCTTTTAGGGAATCCCTATGCCTGTAGAAAAATTATCATAAACAATAACAATATTCTGATGCTTTAATTTCCTTTTGCTAAAAATCAATGTTTAAAAATTGGTTTACAAGAAGTTTTATAGAAAATAAAGAAATAGAGAAGTTAATGAATGGGTGTCCCATCCGGAGGTTATGTCTCCACAGTAATCTCTGCAGAGGAAACACAGGGGATGGGAGAGTGGGGTTGGGGAAGGGACTCACAGGTAGGTGAGAAAAGGCTGGTAGGAAAGAGGATTGACATGAAGGAGAACTTCTGGAGGAAAAGCCCAAAAGAGAAATGAAACAATACACAGAGCAGCAGAAGATATTCTTTGAGGAGATAGGAGAAGTTAACAGAGTGTTTGGAAGAGATTCTTCGACAGCAGATGGAGGGAAGGAGGCAAAGATTACTCTGTCAAATATCATTCCCTGGAAAGACTGTGACACAGAAACTTCTGCTTAAAAAGGGAAATAAAAGAAAACCTGATTCTGTAGACAATATGACTTTGATTTCTGATCAGCAAGAAAGAATTTGCAGTAACTCCCATAGTAGCTTTTCAGAGACATCGTGGTTTCTTACCTCCTGAAACACATCTCCGAGCAACCTCCCAAAGGATGAGTCCAAAACTGTACATATCAGCCATGATGTAAGACTGAAAGTGGTTTCTATTCAAGCTCTCGTCCAACACCTCTGGAGGCATGTAGCGCTTGGTGCCAACACGAGTGTTGGGTGGTATGTCAACTTCATTTGTATCACTAAGGAAAGAATAAAACAGAGCGTTATCAATAGCAAAGAGGACCCTCAAATGACAGTTTGAAGTGATGGTTTTAAATAGGGCTGTAGTAGACGGTGAGAAAAGAAAACCTTGGTGGGAAAAGAAAACCTTTCAGGGAATAAAAAAACATTTCTTTGAAAAATAATTCTTGCCAGAAGTTATGGCAAATGCTCACAGGTAAAAACCCAATGCAGATGAGACTAAATCAGCATGAAACTATAACAGAAAAAACTGTATTACCACTAGATCAAATTTAGACTCTAACCCACTGCTAAATATCTAATAAACATTTTAAAAATACTTTATATTTTAATACTTTTGCTATTACAATTGGTATGTGCACATAACAACTTGGTTTGTTTAAGACAGGTGTGTGTGTGTGTGTGTGTGTGTGTGTGTGTGTGTGTGTAGTGTAGTACTAGGGTTTGATCTCAGGGCTCTGTGTGCTAGGGTAAGCCCCCTCCCACTGAGCTACACCTCCAGTCTGAGATAATTATTATTTTTTTAAGCCAGGTGAGGATTTTTGATGTCACAGATGATCAATACTAAACTTATGGAAACACTAGCAGGTTTGAGGAAAACAACAACACCTGGGTTTGATCTTATTGCTTCATTATCTACTAAAACATAAAGCATGTGGCATCATTTGGGAAAATGTAAAGTATGGCAGATGTCGCTCTGTAGCTCTCAAATGGTTCGCATTCACTAAAACATAACTATAAAGCTTTCTTTTAAAAAATCTTCTGAAATTCATTTCTAGATAAAATCTATTCCAAAAGATAAAAACTATTCCCAAAGACATGTCACCAATATACTCACCAGATTTCTTATGGTTGTCTAGGAGTAACAAAGAACCTATCTTCATAAAATGAAAGTTAAAATATAAATTTATTAAACAGCAGGTATCCCTTATCATCTTACATTGTCTTACATTTAAGACAAACAGGTCTTAATGTACTGGGTTCTTTCCTAAGACTAGGAAGAGATGCTAAAACATTGATTTTCAGATGAGTACAGTAGAAGGAAGGGAGCAGGAGGAGGGGAAGGAGAGGTGCTGGGGGCTGAATTAGAACAAGATATATTCCATGCTCTTATAATTATGTCCAAATGGATTCTACTGTCATGGATAACTAAAAAGAACCAATAAAAATATTAATATTCAGTAGTTACAACATAATACTAAAGAAAAATTTGTCTGTGTAAGGGAGGAAAGTGTGCCAAGAGCAGACTTAATGACAAACTGGGAAAATGTCAGCTGAAAAGACACTGCACCAGCTCCACCACCAGTTACCAGGAGAAGAACTTCTCTCCTGCTCTACCTGCCCACACCTCTCATGTGAGCACACAGCAGGTATTTCATTAATATGTTTTCTGAATGTATTATAATTTATCACTTTTAATCACTAGAAGAAAACGGTGGTGGCCCGAGGTAAGGAAACCTGGGTTCAAGCAGAGAAAATAAACAGGGGTTTGCAAATGAAAAGAAAATGGTTAAGGGCTTTAATATAAACCAGAACATGTCCTGAGAAAGCCATCTAAGAATAGTCTCAAAGCAGGCATTTACAAAAGTCAAAGTTATATTCTGACCACAGTGGATAAAGATCTTGGCAATTACACTCCCTTCCGACTCTTAGCTCCTTCATGTTTATTTGAACTGGAGAAGTCAGGAAGTGGCATTGGAAAGTGTGACATGGAGACACCTACTGGAGAACAGAAAAGTAACTACTACCTAGGGAAAGAATCAGGATGGGTGATGGTGAGACTATATGTAGTTATCTCTATTTTTTCCCCCTCAAACACTGCAAAAACATATAATTAAGAATTCTGATCAAATGCAAAAAAAGCCAGTTCCTTCCACCAGTCATAAAATCTCAGCACAGCCATTCCTCCTCTTCTTCCTCCCCCATACCTGGTGTTTTTCCAAATAGAATTTGCATAATATCTTCCCTAAATAAATATCTTCCCTGGTAGTATTTGAATAAATAATCATTTCCAATATAAGATTATAAATTCCTTCAAGTTCCCAATATCTGTCATCATCATATGGTATTTCCCTAAAGAGGGGAGGTAGCCCCAGTCCATCTCCACTCATGGTGTCTCTTGCACATGTAGGAAAACAGTATACTTGAAATGAAAGAAGGAAAAGGCCTGTTTATGGCCATCTTTGCTATGGATCATTTTAAAAGAAAGGCCATACAAAGATCATGAAATGAGAGGTTATCAATATCCAGGAAAATAAATAGAATTTCACTGAGCAAATTAATTTTGTAAAGAATTACTACTGACCTCATGGTAAACGCCTTTAGCACTACATTTAAACAAACATGTTAATTTTAAATAATTCATGTCTGATATTACGAAGTAGCAGACTCTCTAAGACATAAAGCTCTGCCCTTCTTCCCTCAGGCATGTTTCTATGCTTGAAAGTAATTAAACTGCATTTCTTAGGTTTTTCAGTAACATCACTTTTCCTATTCTCAAATAATTGCAGAGAAAATTTGACCTTGTATTAATTTTCAAGGCCAAAATTAGAAATTAAAATGATTTAATACGGGGGCATCAAGAATTAAAAGAACACAAAAAGAAGGTAGAGTCAGCTTGAGTAAGACATTTAACAGAGTATAGTGTGACAGAAGAAAAGGCCCAGGGGAAAGAAAAGGCCAAGGTGCCTTCAGCCCACTCCAGCTCCTTTCCCTCGGAGGAGTGTGGAGCAGTCAGAAACCAGGTTGGCAGGACATTTATCAAAGAAGAGGTACAAAGGCAGAGAAAATAACCACACACCCACAAAGTAGTTCTGTGCACCCTAGTAGCCACACACATCTGTAGTCAGATTAGAAATCTGTACAGCTGAAAGATAAACAGGAATTGGTTCCTTCTGGGAGGGACAGAAGGGAATGACCCCAGCAGTGCACTCCCTCATGCCTACACCTGGTGACTGGCCCAGCACACCTCCAGCACAGCACTGGGGGGCTATGGTGCATGGTCACCACAGGTGTTGGTGTTATGGCCAGAGGGACATCTGGGACTGCAGAAAGCCTAGAAGTGCAGCATCCCCTCAGGACCCTAAGCAGGTGGGAGAACAAACCATGAGCACCCACAGGACATGCCTTAGGTGCTTAGTCACCAGGCCCTGGGTAAAGGGAAGCCAAAGATTTGAGTTTGGAGACAGGGAATAAAGGGAAATTTAAAAGTACAAAGCATCAGTATGAGTTGTATTTTATACTGAATGATTCTCATTAAACTTCCAGATGAGAAGTGTTATATACAGGGAGACGTCTCTGCTCAGTTCAGCACACGGCACATCCCTATAGCACCATTCCCTGAGGAAAGAGCTTCATGAAGATCTTCAGCAGAGCACATATGACAACAGAGGCCATCACAGGAGCAGAGTGCTTAGCTGGGAGGAGCACAGTGCTTAGCTGGGAGGAGCACAGTGCTTAGCTGGGAGGACCAGGATCCTCCTCATGATACCTTACCTGAAACAGGGAGGGGAAAGGGGAACTGGGGGGATAAGAAGGTCATAGAGAAAGACAGGAAAAGTAAACACTGTATACCTTTAATAATCTAAAACTTTAGAAGAACATGTGAAACAAGACTAGGTGAGAAGACCTAGTGTGTGACTTACTAGAAATATCCTCCCCCAAAGTGTGAGTCTTAGAAGCTTACAGCAGAGCTCAGCTCTTTCCTTTGTGTTTCCCGAAGCACCCTGTCAATGGCCGTGGAACTGATTTGCTCACTTAATCCCTGCCCATTCTGATGCTCACCAATGAGACTTTTCCTTAGCACTTTTCATTGGGTTCAATGCTGCTGTGATTAAATTCTGAGAAATCTCCGGGTTTCCTGGAAACAGAACTTTGGAACTAAAAATTCTCTGGCTGCAGAAACCTGGGGAGGAGTGCTGAGGCTGCCACTAATGAGTTTAGTTCTGTGACATCTGTGAGTCATTTAGCCATGTCACTTTTTAAAAAAACAACCTAGTAAGTATAGAAACCAAAGCAGTGCAGAAAATAATGACATCAGAAGGACTCGAGAAATTCAGTCCCTGCTGGGCTGGGCCACCCATCTCTTTACACTTGGACAACTTGACAATCATCAGCTGGGAGATATCTGGGTGACAGCCTAGTCTTCACTGTAGATTTTCTATTTAAAATTTAATACCTGAGAGGGCCTGAGTCAGGATTTATTTTCCTGCTAAGAAAATATTTTATTCTGACATGGAAGCACCAGAGGGGTTGCTTGATTCTCCAGAGTAAAACATTAAAAACTGTGTAAATTCCTTCACGTCTCATTGTTTTCTCTTCCCAGGAGAGATCCAGGGTAATGGTGATATCTGCCAGGGCATCACCTGAATTAAATCTCAGTTGAGCAGGAAATGCATCAGCACTCAGGTCATTGTCAGAAGAGTGCAGGAAGAACTGAACAGAGGGCAAAACAGTTCTAGGAGCAGGAAATGTCATAAGACACCATCGGCTCTCTCTGGACTCTCCACTTCCCTGGGAACCTCCAGAAATGACTGAAGAAACTAAGAGACCACTTGCCATAACGGAGACACTGGAATATAGATTGTTTTCACAGGAAGTTCGCATATGAAGTCTGAAAATTCAGCACTGGATTTGCTATGACTCTATTTGCAATAAAATGTTCTGAATATCTGTACATGTACACATACACAAAATACAAAAGTAAAAAAAAAAAAAAACGATAGAAACCAAAGGGACATATAAAGAAAGGCTTAAAATTTAGGCCACAAACTGGAGGTGCAAACTTTGAGATGCAGGAAATAATATGAACAGGACCTTTGAAATGATCAAATGTAAGCTCCAATTAATGGAAGAAGAAACTGAGGTTTAGACATGTGAATGAGCTCCGCTCAGCTTTAGCTATATGAATCTGTGCAACATCTGAGTCAGGGCCACATCTCTCTCCTCCCTTGATGAACGAGCCACTAAATGCCAAATAAATCTCTGAATTGTCCCTTAAATTAGTTCCCCTACACTTCCTACAATCAAGGTCTGCATAAAATTTGAGAGACCATTCAGTTCATTCCCCTTATGTTAAGCAAAACTAAGTTTCAGAAACATAATAGATACTCTGTTTGTTTGAAGGTCTACAAAGAAGATTAGGTATCAGTTAATTTGCTATTGCCTACATTTATTGATTTAAAACGAAATAACAATACTTATAATAATGGGTAAAGTGTTATACCATATTAAATGGGAAAAACATTAATAAATTTTGGTATAGATCCTGCTCTCAAGATGCCCAATGACTAGTGGGAGAGATGAGGCATGTAACAAAATAATTATAATACCAGGCAGACAAGGGCCAGGAAATTACTACAGGAGGACAGAAGATAACATCATTATTTCTAAGTGGGGGTGAATAAAGTAGCTTAGAGGCACCTCTGAGATTAAGGTACATGGAGAAGCAGAGTCATTTCAAGCCAGGGATTGTGTAACCAAAAACCAGGCAGTAGTAAGCATGGGGAATTATAAGGAGAAACTGCAAGCAACTCAGTTCTGTAAAAGTACACAAATTGGAGTCTGTAGAATATAAAACTAGGAAGGTGGATTTAGTGCAGAATGTATAGGATCTCTGGAGCTAGAGAAAGGTGTTTCTTCTTCATTCTGTGGTCCATATGGAATAACTCATTTATCTATTAAATAAAAATTATAAGCAACACCTTATAATGGAAGGTACTTGGATAGAAATTTGAAAAAATATATGTTATCTTTCTTCAAAGGGATTACTCTCTATTGGGAGGGACAGATAAATAGTCAACGATCACTATAAAACAGAGTGAGAAGTATCATAACAGGTGCAGGGTCACCCTGGAGGTATACAAGAAGATGAACTAAAAATAAGACTTGTATGAGAATAGCAACAGAAGATATCTCTAAGGAAGAAACTGAAGACCAGCAGTAGTTCTGATGGAGGAGGGGATATGAGTATTCAGATAATAAAAGCATTTAAAAAAATAAACTTGGGATATGAACATATAAAGGGGTCAGAACAAAGACAGCAAAAGTAAATAGTATGCTATGAATAGGACTCACCAATAGTCCAGGATCAGTAAAGAAAGAGAGGCCACTGTAACCAAGGGACTTTATGTATTAACCCAAAGCCACGGGAAATGTGAAATTATGATAATGTCCAAAATATACTCCAAGAAAACAGAGGGCACAGCATGCAGAAAAGATTGAATAGTGCAAAGACAAAGAGAAAATAACTGCAAAATGCTTTACTCCTGAGTCTAGAAAATTGGTGTTGAGGGCCCAAGCTGGCCAGGGACAAGTGGGAATTTCATGAAGACAGAATTCATTTGTTAGAAAAACAAAAGGTCTGGGAACAAAAGAAGATGTTAGACATCCTAGGTTTAGGATGGTTCAGCAAAACTAAGAACTAGAAGAAAGAACAAGAAAACACACAGGTGGAAAGTATTTAAAAAGCAGGTAAGAAGACCTAGTGGGAGAGAGAAGAAGGAACATGCAGAAAAAAGTCTCATGAAAAGAGGAGGAGGGGAAAGGCTTGGGTGCTATGGACCCTGGGATGGGAAGGGGATGCGGCCACCTGGTGACAAAGACAAATGGTTGTCTCACTAAAGAAGTGTCAGGAGGGGATGAAACAGAAGCCACATTATATGACATTAAAAATTACTAGGCTGGGAAAGCAGATTACCCTTTGTACCTCTATGGAGAAATTTAACAGAGGAAGGAGGGAAAGGTTAGTAATGTGAAGAATGCCATGGTGTGTGCGTGTGTGTGTGACTTGAAAAGGGCTACAGGTCATTAAAAAGAACTCAGAAGGAAGAGGGGATGTAATAATCTTTATTGGCAGGAGATTCATATTTCTAACTTAAATCTATAGCCCAAAACATTTCCTTTGTTTTTAAAGATCAGGAACTTTAATTTGTCATGTTTAAATGGTAAAGACCTTCTATGTTTGGGGTTCATTATTAAATCACACTGCAGCCTTTACTTCCAGGTGGAAATACCAACTCATCTGTCCTTTCTTGTGAATTTTATTTTCCAAAATTTTCATCATTCCATGACTTTCCCTCGAATCTACAGTGAGCTTTCAAAAAGGCAGGTAGGTATATGATGGTTCTTCTATGCCAGTGGTACCCAAACTCATCTTGGCTGTTTTGTTTTCAGAACAGAAGAACCATTCCTCTAATTAAATCATCCTCAAAAAAAAAAAGGAGCCTTTCCACTTAAAATAAAGTCCCAACTGGGCCCATCTGCTCTACATTGACCAACCAGCCCAAAGGGGGTCTGAAAACCACTGTTAATACACTCCGCTTTATGTGCCCAAGTGTTATATTCATTGCTTAAACTACAGTAGAATAGTGCTGAACACTGGGTGTATTAGATAAGTTTCTAATATTTCTTATTAAACACTCATGCAAGTTATCTTCCTATTCTCAATTAAAAAAAATTAAAAATCAAAACAAAACAGGGCCTTTCTCATTATATAACTGATAGCTCTTTCCTTAAATTTTTTCCTATTTACAAATGTTACACAGAATTCTGACAACAGATTCCCAGACATTAGCTACCTCTTTTCCACAGAAGAGAGGTTCATAACAGTTGCAAATCTAACATCAACAGTTTCTAAGCCAGGTCCCTGATAAGCACAGAAATGAGGAGTGATATTTTTGCCCCCAAAGAAAAGCTGGTATTAATGAAATGCCTCACCTACTAAATATCCTACAAACACTGAGCTACAGAGTGTATAATCTTTTAAAATGATAGAAAACAATCATAAAAAGCATATTTGTTCACATTGATACTAACCTAATAAACTTAACAGCCAGGCCCAGGTCAGCTATGCAGCAAGTTCCATTTTTCTTCACCAGGATGTTCTTACTTTTCAGATCTCGGTGTGCAATCGCTGGTTTGCCTTGAGTACTGAAGATTTCTGTGTGTAAATGACATAAGCCACTGACAGAAGAGTAGGCTAACTTCAACATGGATTTAGTGTCTAGGGTGGTGGACTTTAGGTAATCATAAAGGGAACCGTTTTCATGATAGTCTGTGATGAGGTAGAGCTGGGTCCAGGACCCAGTTCCTTTGATATCTGCAGCAATGAACCCTAAAAGGAAAAGAGACAAAAAAGATTGGAGGTGTTTTCTCAATAAAATCTAGAATGATTCACAGTCTCAAATAGGATTCTTTGTCCAGAGATGTCGATTGTTTAGCGTTTCACTAAGTTTTCCGATCATGTCTGTGGTGGTATTAAATTACAAATAACAATCAGACACACTTGAAATTGTAGAGATGAAGAACGATTAAAAGTTTACGTCGGAAAACATGACTCCTTTCTGATCATTAGATGACATTTAAATCCCTTTATGATGTTAAAGTGTCATGAACAACATTGTTTGCAAAACCCAGTCTTGAGTTAAGATACACACCGCACTGATCAGTTTGCATTCACCCTTCCGTGATGCAGACAGACCACGTCTGGCCTAATAGAAAGTCAATCAATTCTTATCATAAATTCTTGACATAAATAAACCCTGCAGATAAAATGCCCATAATTTTTGACATTTAAAAAAAATACATGCTCCTTCAAATCCTAAGAAATTCTGGTGTTGCATTTGTATCTCCAGTTTCTGAAGGAAAAACATTTGAGAGCATTCCAAGTTCAGCCTGCCATCCATTCACGGGAGTGTCTTGGTCATTCTGCCTGTGAGGCCTCCCACTAGAAGCTATGGTCTTGGGCCAATGCCAAGAAGAAAAGCTCTACTCATCTATACATTTCATAGCAAATGTACACAGACTTTCATAGGCAGATGTTGCCGGAAAGACCAAGGGAAGCAGAAAACCCTGAGCATCGCTGTATAGACTTACCCAAAATGTTTTCATGCCTCATCAACACTGTCTGATAGATTTCTGTCTCTCTGAACCAGCTGGCTTCCTCTGTGGTGAAGAACACTTTCACAGCTACCTTTTCGCCACGCCACTTTCCCATCCAAACTTCCCCATAGCGACCTTTTCCAATCTGTTTCACCATCTGAATCTGCTTAGCTATAGTCCTTTGGACCTGTGAAATCCCAAAACACTCTTGTTAGTGTATTCATGGCACTACAGATTTGGTTAATTTTTTTTTCTTCCAGAGAAGAAACGATTAGTGCATGTAAAATATATGTAGTCAGGATTTTTCTTTATATAGATGAGATATAGATGAGTTATTTGTATTTATTTATTAATTTATACTATTCCCTTTTAAACCTATTTGAGATGGTTATGGATTCTGAATGCTCAACATATTGCCTCCAAATCATTAAATATTTCATTCCTCTAATTGTAATGTTTACAGAGGAAAAAAAAAAGTGAATGGGTTCGCAGCTAATGGCAAAACAGAATATTTTGACTTCCCTACTATACTGTGTTATTGTGTTCTCTGAAGGAACTCTTGCCAGCATATAACAATCACAGATACATTAAGATGAAACAAAATTATAATATACTGTTGGGCACATGAGGGAAAAAAAAGGAAGGAAAAAGGGAAGAAAGAAAAGGGAGTAGAAAGAAGGGAGGGAGCTGAGACCAAAGCAAGGAACGATACACATTAAACATACAGAAAAGCCAGACTGCTGTCTGGCAGAGAATAATACCAGTGCTGGGATCCAGAATCTAAACAGTGATTTTTTTTTTAAACTAAGGTGACTTACTCTAGTGTCCGGCGCCACCTTGTTCAGGAGCTATGCACACACCTTTATTTAAGTCCTCAGTAGAGAAGTACTGGAGTGGTATTGCACGCTGCAATGCAACTGGACTTTACCTCTACTCCGATAATATAGGTGAAGCTCTAGGAATGGGCATTACCTGATGGGGTTGAATTACACCCACCTGCTTGTTGTAATCCTACCCTTCTGCCCTTTTTTGGATAGACTATTCCATGGATTTGCTCCCTCCATTAATAAAATCTGGGTTTGAGGGGTGCTCCCTCTGTTTCTTGCCTGCCTTGCCTCCTTGGTGGGAGCTGGGTCAGAGGGGCCGTCACAGAACCCAAAGAAAAAGGTATTTCTCTGCCTGTGTGTCATTATTTCGTGCCAGCCCAGTTCTCCTGGAGTGACCCTGACCCATTTAGTCATGTGCCAGGACAATTCTAGGACTTCAGCATTAAGCTAAAACCATCGAACAGTACTAAATTTGATCTAGGCTGGGCACATGTCATGGCTCTTGGCGAAAATGAACATAAATCCTCTCTAGAGGAAATCAAATGCAGAATACTTTTCACTCCACAGTCATGGTGGGATCATAGTATTTTGAAGAAACTCTTGTAATCACATAACTTGACTGTAATACACTGTTGGACTCACAATAGAGAAAATTTCCAAGGTGGTGGGGAGAAAGAGAACAATAGGAAAAAAAAAAAGAGGAGAAAAGGAAAAGGGAGAGAAGATCCAACAGAATGAATTCCTTAAAACAAAAGACAAAAGGAAACAGCCACTGTGAGTCCATACTAACACAGCAAATGAATTTAACTCAGTCAGCTAACCTATTATAATTTTCAGATACAGAATTCCAACTAACTAAATGAAGTGTTTAAGAAACAGAACAACAAATGAAAAATAAGCAAACAAGAAGAGATTATTGAAAATTACACTTTTGAAATAGAATAGTTAATTGTCACAATTAAAAATGCAAAACGGACAGGCAAAGCAGCAGATTAAAGAGAAACGTTAATGAGAGAAAACTAACGAGCTGAAGAGAAAGTTATTTAACAAGCTATAAGACAGCTCCAAAGAATTTTAAAGAATGCAGTAGAGCAAAGAAAAAGCAAATAAAAGTGAAATCAAAGTTAAATGTCCCTGTACACATAATCTTTCTCCAATCGATACTTACAAAAGGATATTTTAAGAAAACCGATATTAATGGTTCCATAACTGGAAGGCCTAAACATCTCTGATAATTTACATAATCTATAAAACATTCATAAAGAATCCAAAGAACTCTAGTAAAATCTTATCAGAAAACTAAATGTACTTATGTACAGATATGTTTTATATTGAGTAAAAACCTAAGTTTTCCATTTTGTTTTTGCAGTTTTAACTATGTACAATAACAATGAACAGCCCAAATAATCCAAATAACCTCACCTCACATTCAGCAGATCAGCAGCCTTAATTCCCCTTTGTCTTTTATCATAACAGATCCTAAGGATTAGGATATGGAAATGGGGGGAGGCATTATTCCACCTACCACAGAGGTCTTACCAACAGGGATCAGTTCTCTTTTTTTTTTTTTTTAAATAAGGTATTTTATCAATTCAAAAGGTAATGTTATTCATTCCCCAAACCATTATTGGCACTGATAACAAACTGAAAGCTTTTTGGGAAAAGTCTGTTTCTTTAAAAGAATTTAAAATAAAGAGAATTACTGACATACTATAAAGCCATGAAGCCAAATGGAAATAAGCAAGCAACTATGTACACACAAGCAGTCGCCCTCCATTTAGCAGCCAAATGTGTTATGCAAGGAAACCTTTGGTATACCTCCATCCCCAAACCGTTTGACAGGAGCTTCAAGAGCACTGAGCTGCTGGGAGCCAAATACATAAGCAGTTTAATTACTCACTTGACAGGAAACTTGCCACATCTATTAAAGAGATATTGTACTCGATTTATAGATGTTACAAAACATTGCTTATGTAAATCTGTGAATATTCCGTAACATAAACAGTTTTGCATCTGCTTCTTTTCTAGTGATAATACATCTTCTTTAATGAAAGTACTGACAGCATTGGCAAAGCCTGATAAACTAGGACCAACTTATCTTCAAGATAATAAATTAAAATTCAGGAATTTAAAATGCACTTATATTTTGGGATTATAACATCTAAGGGCATGGAAATATAACTTGACAATTTTAAAAACTAAAATTTGAGTTTTTATTTGATTTAGCAAATATTTCTGGTCTCTTTGTACTTACATTTTCATTCTATATTATATTGGTAGACATCAATATTTGAAAGTTGGGTGTATACATAAAATATCTTGCTATAGTTTAGATCTTAAGTGCCCCTCAAAGGTCAATCTGGTGCTATTGGGAGGAGGTGGAAACTTTTAACCCATGAGGCCTACTGAGACGAACTGAGGTCACTGGAAGTATGCCTTCAGAGGGGACTGTGGAGCATGGACTCTTCTTTTCTCTCTCTTTTACTTCCTGACCATGAGATGGGCAGTTCAGGCACTCCTGTCATGATGTGCTACCACAAGCCTGAAGTAACAGGGCTAACTGACTGAAATCTCTAAAATGTGAACCAAGAGAGACCTTTTTTGTTTATTAGTTGATTTCATCTTACATATAAATCAGAGTAACTGTGATTCCAAAGAAGAATTATTTCATGTGCACTGGATACAAGTGAATGTATAAGGATTTATAAAGAGCTATAAAACTATTCCAGGATTAGCATCTTACTTAATGATCTGATAGTGTCTAATGTTTAAATCCATGTACCATATGGAAGGCCAAAAATATGTATCTGTTAATAATGTTGCCTACTCTCTCCTGTGTCTCTAAATGAGCAACACACACACACACACACACACACACACACACACACACACACTTCACTTAATAAGGCTGTGTTAATAATATGTATGGAAAAGATTTTCACAAGACTCCTCACTAAAGAGCTTTAATGTTCAGTTAGAAAAATTACCTTGTGCTCCTTTACAAAATCAAAAAAAAAATAGAATATAAGTAACAATAAGTTATTACTTATTAAATACATACTATAGGTATGTTAAATAATATGCCAGGAATTGTGATGTGTGTGTGTGAATACATGTGCATCACACACAGAGAACAGAAACATACACTATCTTAATTCTTTCAACAACTCTGATATTCCTTCTCTTTAAGGAAGAAAGAAATAGATATTTTATGTTAAAAAAGAGAGAGGACCCCAAATTAAAGGATATAAAATCATCTGGTAAACATTAGGTCCACATATGTGTTAAGGCATGAATTTTTCTTCCATTAATGAGATAAACAGCAAATCTGTACTAAGGTGAGATATTCATTTATACAACAATATATGGAGAAAAGACCATATACTTCAGCATATTTTAATCTGAAAAACCAAATCCTAAAACCAGATATTAAAGTTGTAATGCTGAGACTTTGTTTATTTTATTTTATTTTTTACTGACAGGATTTTATAGAACCCTCCTTCCTTATTTCTCCTATCAGATGCATTTCTTTGACTTAGTGAACATTTGCTTCCTATCTTCCAACACCAATTAGTTGGCCTATTTCTGTTGTATCCCCTGATGTGAAATGCAAGGATGTATTTCTAGTACAGTCATGTGCTGTTTATCAAGGTTTTGGTCAAAGACAGACTGCATATGTAATGATGATTCCGTAAGACAATGAATTTGCCTACTGATGGAAGAGCTTCCTTAGTTTGTATAAGAACACACTGTAATGTTCATACAATGATATCATCTAGTGATGCATTCCTCACAATCTGTCCCTGTCATTAAGTGACACTTAGCTCTATTACATCACAGGATTAGAATGAAGATTAAATTGGAATATATATACATAAAGGCCATTGTCTAGACAACCCAGGCAATGTGGCTTGAGGATTTGTATGCCTAATAATTATATGATATAAGGAAAATGTCATTATTCTAGTATCTTGATTATGGAAACAGTATCCTTATAGACTGCAAAAGTAGGAACCGAAAGCTTTCTAAAACAAATGACTGAGCAGCCCCTTAATGAATCAGACATTCTACTGGGGATTCAAAGTGAATAAAATATAATCTCCACCTTCAAACAGGACCCAGGTCACCAAAACACACAGATACATTAACATTAATTGTAACCTTATTCTAAGCAGCCATATTAGTATTAAAAGGAAAATATTATGATAAAAGACAAAATAAATTGGCTCATTCTTGGGTAACTGATAAGTTGTGAGAGATAAAATGTGAAGTAGGCCTTGGCCATAAGTTGGAGGAATGTTCCATAAAGAGCTTACATTTGTGAAGATGTGGACATACCTGGTTTTCAAGAAGTAATTAAAGAAAGGTCATTGTGTGAAAAAAAGAATGATAGTTATTGACAAAAACAAATTTCAAGTACAGGTCAGAGAAAAATAAAAATATATTGCTTTATATATATGGAGAATTTACATTGGTGGCAAGGTGATGTTTATCTTCCTTAAATGCAGAGATTTTTCATATATAAAATACCAACAAATAAAAATGTTCTTTCTCTTTGGGTGTAGTAGAAATTATATGAAATGTAGAGCTGGAAGTTCTTAATTTAGGTTTCAGCTCCACCAAATTCTGAATGTCTGATCACTGGTCTCAGCTTTCTTATCTGTAAATTTCAGTTAATAATGACATATACACACATATATCATTATGATATATATGTATATGTATATATATGTATGTATATATTAAAATAATGACATATATTCACATATATATCACTATGATATATACGTATATATGTGTGTATATATATTAAAATGATGTGGTAGTTTTGAAAGCACTATATACATAGAAATATTAGTTATTTTATTAACAAATTTCCCCCTTTTATGTGAGAGGACAAAGGAAATATTTTCATTGCTCAAAGGTTAAAAATGTCTATGAAGTATTTTGTTCATGATAGTACAACTTTTCAAATATCTGTAGTTTGTTTTTATTAGTGATATGTCTGAAAGATACTGCACTCTTAATTTAGATGATACTGTCACAAATGTAATAGCTTTTTATTTATTTTTTTTGGTAGATGAACACAATACCTTTATTTTATTTATTTTTTTAATGTGGAGCTGAGGATCAAATCCAGTGCCTCACACATGCTAGGCAAGCACTCTACTACTGAGCTATCACCCCATCCTGAAATGGAGTTTTTTTGTTGTTTTTTTTTAACTTTACCATTTTATTCCTATTCTCTTTTGAGTAAAATAGTCATTTAAAAATTATTTAATTCTTTTTTTGGATAGTGGGTAAAAGTGGGTTTTTTCCTTTCTAGTGTAGTAAATGCATGGTAATTAAAATACCAATTGCAATAATATTTGCACTGGCTTGCAAGATTTTAATTTTATTTACTTTGAATTACATAAAGAAGTGTCAAGAAAATTCTTCCACCTCTTTTGTAACTAAAACTTGCCATGAATCTGTGCATATCTGTGTATAGGCTGTTTCTGTTTGTGGTAATAATAATGTATACCAGAATTTCCACTTTGAACTTGGACCATTAAAGAGAATTTTCTTAAAAAAAAAAAAAGAAAGAAAGAAATTACTCAAAGGTGAAGTTAAGTTCAGGATGCAGGTAGGGAAGGGAGGCAGGAGAGGGTGAGCAGGCAGGCTGAGCTTAGGTGCAATGGGTATCAAGCCAAGAAAGAAGACCCAGGAGCAGCACTGGGTATTGTAATGTCATATCTAGGGAAAGAACCTGGCAGGATTAAAGATTTGGGAAGGCTGAAAGAGCTCCATCAGTTATTTTCTGCCTGGTCTCAAAATTATTACTCATAGTAGTAAATCAAAGGCCATCAGATGAATAAAGTAAGTAAGATACCCAAAGTCAGAACCAGATCATTCCTCATGAGAATTATTTATATCATGAATCCCAACTATCTTTCTTCATGGTTCATAAAAGAATAAAATATTTTTCTCATTAAAGCAAGCACCTGGAATTTGGTATATATATGCTTGTCCAGGCGGGCAGTACTCACCATTGGAAAATTAAACCTCTCCTGAATGGAAAAGCTAAGATCTCAACCTGAAACATGAACTCTGTGGCTGAAATGCAGCCTTCTTCCTTTGTAGAAGTGCTCAGATCCCAATTGGTTGTAATACTTTTGCCTTCAATAGCCAGGCCAAAGTGCTGTAATGCTATCCTCAATGAAAACAGAGGGAAGACAGTCCCACGTTTAATGTTTTCTAATCTGCTCTGTATCAGAAAGATGTCTGAGGGTCTAGGCTGTAACCATACACTTTCATTAAAAAACAATCACCTTACCCTCAATATGTCAAAATGTTATCAGGAAGCCCTGCATCTGAAATCTGATGTCCAATCGACTGCCTAAAGCGTTCTCCTTCTCCACTGTCCTATCTATTTCAGTAAAATGAAACCCTATATTTATTGACATTTCCTTTCACAAGACATTTCCTTTCAAGATATGTTCTTCTCATACCAGCAGAGGGAGGCCTGATCCACTTCCTGAGCTTTGAGACTGCTCAATTAAGTCTCTCAGGGATTCTCCAGGAGGAATGTAAGTTCCATCCTGTTCCAGCCCAATGCTGTACCGAGGTCTGGTTTCTTGTCTTTTATACCTAAGGATAGATGATTGGGATAATTTTAGAAACTGAAATGTACTGACACAGATAAAGCATTGCAGATAAACACTAATCACAGCAGGTTTGATTTTATCATAAAAATGCAAGACAAGATCAAATGCTGCCCCTAGTTACGGTTTCTAAAATACAAATCTTAAATTTGGCTGATTTTTTAAAAATAAACTTCATGTTTTTTTTACACAGTGTCAACCATTTACAATTTTTCTGCTTCTTTCAACTGCACTTCTATATTCTGTTAATATTTCCACATAGTTTCAATATTTATTCCCTAAGTTGTTTTCCTTTTAATTATAATGTTTTCAATGAGAACATGAATTTATTTGAATCCATTCATTGACACATTTGCAGAGTATCATAAATGAATATTAAATTGCCCAAAAGACAAATGACATGGGTATAAAGATCTTTCATATTTTATAAACTAGAAAATAAGTTCTTAGATGACTGAAAATAGTTTGTAGCTGTCATACTTTATTATAACAACTTTTTATTTTAACATTTATTCTATAAATTATATTTAAAAATCTTTTATATGAGAAATTTTTAGCTCAAGAAATATGGAATAAATTGAACTACTCAAAGTTCAGCGTAGTCCTTGCTTTACTTAGAATCAACCTGAGAAGTAATCAGTCCTGGAACTCCCCTGATTTCCTTAGAGGTGAAATATTTATAAGAATAGTTTTGATGTCTGAAGTGGAAATGAGTTGGGTACCTATTTATAACTTCCTTGGGATAAATATTTGTCAATAGTTTCAAATATTTTAAGCCTAAAATCCAATTAAACCAAGGAAAGCTTCAATGAAGAAGATCAACAGAAAAAAATGGTAGAATATTAGTTTATGAAAGGTACTATGAAAGCCAAATTCCATATCTATATGTTAGAACCTTACCTGAAGTAACAAAATAAAATGATAAGGACCAATAGCAAACTACAGACAGTCACAGATATAAGTAAGGCCTTGTGGTGTATAGGTCCATCAACAAAATCTGAAATTAAAAAGAGAGTCATGATATGGAGAATATTTTTACTTAAAATGAGGAAATAAATTTTTCTCAAAAGTACTTGCTAAGCAATATATCCAAGATATGAAAACACTTTTAGCATGACAATTGATTAAAAATACACAGACACTCAAAACTACATTTTTGACTAATGTCAATCATCCTTCATGTAGACACATTTCAACAGCACATATTTCCTCTCTGGAAGGAACGGACTTGGAACAGGATAAATGCATGGAGAGAACAGGACAAGAGCAAATGGATGTCCTTCATGAATACAATTTTTTTTTTTTTTTTACAAACGGAAACACACTATAAAAGAATGAATGTGTTCTTGCCAAAAGAATATGTGAAACTTTTCAATGATATTATATATTATTAAGTATATATGATACAAAATTTATAATATAAAAATACATTAAACATATTCATTTTGTCTTAACTCTCATTCTTGACAAACTGGATTTACTTAATGCTTGTTTTCTCAAACTTTGTATGAGTAAGAATGAGAGAAAGATATTCAATACAAATACATATTTACATTTACTGACTGTGTGTGTATGGGTTTTTGTTTGTTGGTTGGCTGGTTGGTACTGGGGATTGAAGGCAAGAGCACTTTACCACTGAGCTACATCCTAGCCTTTTTTATTTTGAGATACAGTCTTGCTAAGTTGCTGAGGCTGGCCTCAAACCTGCAATCCTCCTGCCTTAGCCTCCCAAGTCATTGGGATTACTAGTGTGAGCCACCACACCAGGTAATTTTTATACAGTGGTTGCTGGGCCATATTTTGAGAAAAACGACTTAAAGCCATGTGCACTGTACTCATACAGTAACAGAATAAGTACTGTTTTTGTTAAGGGCAACACTTACCCTTGAGAAGAGTTATTATTGTCTTTTATTACAAGTGGAGATTTTCCAACTGTGTATCTTTACAAATATGGCCACCCAAATAATTTCTTTGGATGAAGTTCTTATCCCACCCAATGTTACTTTTTTTCCATTAAAAAAGTAGATGTTATATGAAGAAAAACTAAAAAGCATCAACTAACTAACGTTAAAAACAAAATCACTACCTCATTACCACACAGGAGAATTTATAGCCAACAGTTAAGTATATGCCATCTTGGTATCACTGTGATGAATAAAAAAAATTCATAAGCAAAATCATTCAAAAATGGTATAATATATTGCATTATAAATTATTTTCATTTATAATATTGTGAACATTTTCCAAAACAACAAGTGTTTTTTTTTTCTGAAACATGATTTAAAGACTACATATTATTATATGTAGGGATATCCTAATTAGACAGTCTTCTCTTGTTTGTTTAGGAGATTTCAAAGATTTTGCTATAATATTTCTTTATTATAATAAATAGAATTCTAAAGTAAGTAAACACATATGTCTTGGCACATGTCAATGCTTATTTCTTTGGAATTCCCAAAATAATTATTAGGTCAAAGGACATATATTTCAAGTCATATTGTCAAACATCCTTTAAAAAGACCACATTATCTATGTAAGAATGTTTTAATTATTTTGAAAATATTTCAGCCTTACAGAGAATCTATGAGAATAAACAACTCCAATATGCCATTTATTCTCATTGTTAAAATTTTATATTTGTTTTATAATTCTCCTGCTCTATTAGTGTCCCATACATGTGTATCAGTATACACACACATATGTATACATATATTTGCATTTGTATTTATTTACTTTTGGAATCAGTTATTATTATATGTATTATTTTTTAACTATGTAAAGGTGCAGAATAACACTCCTATCCACTTGTAAATACTTCTAAAATGAATGTTATAATTTACTTAAGAGTCTAAAATATGTTTAATAATTATTTATGATCCATATGACTACTTATGAAAGTTTTCTATTTCTCAAAAGACTAGATGATGAACATTAAAAACAAGTAGTTTTATATTCATAAATTCAGAAATGTTGCCAATAGTCCAGGATAAAGGGGTTCAGAACTTAACTACTAAAGTACTCTGCAAAATCCATGACAGCTTTAAAGCAGTGGAACATGTGCAATAGCAAGTGCATTGTCTAAAATGCACTACTTAGCAAATCTTGAAAATAATTTGTAGATTCTTAAAATTAGCAGGCTGAAATTTTGAACAAAAATTATTTCAGTAAAATTTTCCTCCATTTCCTATGTATAAATAAAAAAAAATTGTAACTAGAAACTTAGCTTAAAATGTATTCCCAGTTTTAAAAGTAAGAAAAGTTTGATTTTGCAGAAATTCAAAAAGAATGCTACTCAACTAAAACTACAGAGGTTCACATAATCACAACACATTTTCAGTATAAGGACACAAAACTCTTTTTAATTGTAGTGATGCAGTTTTACTAAAATTCTCACCTTCCCTTGTCTTTTATTTTTCATGTAAATGATGAGTACAGAATACACTCTAAACTGCAAGAACACTGTATTTACTTCTCATTTCATGATCTTTCTGGTTTGTGAAAACAATGAGACCACAAAGGCTCTAAGAGGTTCTCTCCTTACCAATAAGCTCTTTCTCTAAGGCTAGTTTTACCTCCCTTTTCACATTTTTTTTTTTGGCCCCAATACCCTAGCGCCTGCAGCCTCCCTGTCCATCCCCCCATCTCTCCTCATGAACAGGAGATCCTTAGCAATACACCTTTTGTCACACCAGTCATGTTTTAATCTACCATTACCTGGGCTCAGAGCATTAACAAATGTAAACATTCAAGTCTCTGCCAGAGTCTCCAAAGCCAACAAGGCCAGATACCTATCAGGAAAAGAGCAGAGCCCACAGCTCTCTCTGGGCAGCTTATTTCTACCTGTACTGTCACTTCAACTACTCAGGAAATGGAACCAAGAGGTCCCCAGGGATGTCTAACTGATTCCAAGAGGCAACTTTGAAACAAAACTGCACCTGTCACTACTAATGACCCAGCAGAGGAGTAGTTAGGAACTCCTCAGGCTGACAGGACTGTGTTTATAGGACTAGAAGGTGGTTCATATTTGCAACATGAAATAAAAAGGAAAAAAAAATCATACAGCTAGAAAGGATCTTGGAAAATAATCACTTGCCCAAAGATATCTTTTCAAGCACTCTAAGTATTAATGATTATGGATTATCGGGAGATATCATCCAATCAATACAGTATAAAGAATTTAAAAAGAATAGCTTTGACACACAATGTTAGTAAGAACATTATATATTTACTTTTATCATATGTTGGGATTTCTTTTTACAGTTAAATCTAGATTTAAATTCTTCTTAAGAATAAAAACAATATTCTAGTTATTCTCACGTATAAAACTGTTTAGGGTCGTATCTCCTTATAATAAAGGTGATTTAAGAAACAACTTTTATATCCAAATTTCTGTATGAGAATGGGGGGGATAAGTTAATTACCTCTGAATTCCTTTCATCTGTCTTACACACAAATTTAATCCGAATTTCCCAGATAGGAATTGAGTGTTTATTTTATTTTATTTTTTGGGGGGGTATGGGGGGACAAATACCAGTATATTTTATGTACACTGGTAAGAAAAGACAGAGACATAGCTGGCAGTGGGCACAAAACCCAGTCATGTGTCATTCTCAAGAGCTGCCCAGTTGGAAAGCAGTTCTACCCACTTTAACAATTGCCCCTTTTTGCAGCTCCTCCAAGTCTGAATGGCCTCAGGGTAGAGGAGTTCTCCTTGCCTTGGCCACAGCTCAAGGACTGGGCCTCTCACCAGCCTGTTCTCCTGATGCCAATTCTGCACAGCCCACAGCTTCCTAAATACAAGTTCCCACAAGAGTTGAGCCACTCAGCAGCTACCTCAGGAGGAGATCCATGCAGAGTGAGAAACCAGGACTAAAGGAGCCGGCTGTTTAGTAGCCTTTGGTGTCCTGGGCCAGTCCACAGACCAGTCCACTCTCTAGTTACAGATCATGAACGTGGTCCCCTGCATGTTTGAGTGGCTTTGGACATCTGCTCGGCTTTCCTGCACCATCTCTTCTTCAGTGCCAGTCACAACAGTCTATGCTTATTCACAGCAAGAACACACAGTGGGCACCAAAGGAGCGAAGCATTGCAAGAAATGTTAGCACTACTCCCTGGCAAGGAACTGAGCTCCGTCTCGTATACTGGTCTACAATACTGAAGGCAAGACCTGCACAACAGAAGGTCCATTCTGGGCTCCCCTTCACATGCTGTACACTAGCATACATTCCATCTGTTGAGGAGAATGGATGTTTCACTAGTTAGATGCCTTTACCTACAGACTTTAGTTTATAATTGGCAGTACCGAAAGGACAGCATTTTATTTACTTACTTGTTGGCTTATTTATTTGTACTAGGGATCTAACTCAGGGTGCTCTTCCACTGAGCTACATCCCCAGGTTTATTTTATTTTATTTTTTGAGACAGGGCCTAAGTTGCCCAGGTTGGCCTTAAATTTGTTATCCTCCCACCTCATCCTCCCAAATCACTGAGATTATAGATAGGTGTAGACCACCATTTCTGGCAAGTCAGGGATAGCATTTTAAAATAAATCTGTAAGCTGCGCACATTACATTTATTACACGGAAAAAAAATTTTTCAACTTTGGAAATTCTGTATTATAATTTGACTGAAACTACATTAAAATTATCACATTCCAAAACAGAAGGTTATTTCTGAAAATTTTTCTATAAAGTCTATATGTAGTATATAAGTAATTTCAATATTTAAACATTAAAACCCACACCAACTTTCTTCAATTATAGAAATTTTGTTTTTTCAAAAGCCAAATCAGCATCTTACTTAATAAAGCAAGAGCTTCTATTTATTTCATTTTGACACTGTTATCATTTCTTTAAGTAGTCATTAAAAATAAACAAATGCTGCTATAAACCGGGTGTGGTGGCAGACGCCTGTAATACTGGCGGCTTGGGAGGCTAAGGCAGGAGGATCACAAGTTCAAAGCCAGCCTCAGCAAAAGTAAGACACTAAACAACTCAGTGAGACCCTCTCTCTAAAATAAAATACAGAATAGGGCTGGGGATGTGGCTCAGTTGTCGAGTGCCCTGAGTTCAATCCTGGGTAACAAATAAATAAATCAATGTGACTTAAAAAGTAATTTTGGAATGAGGGACTTCTTCACATCCTCCTTCACTTCAGAACAGACATTTCTTCTCATTTCTATTCTTACCAACAGCTGTAGTGTTCCTAAGCTTCTGAGTCATATTTTGTTTTTGATGAAGGTGTTGGAGTTGATCTAATTATTTTTCATATTTCCTCATTCCAGAGAAAGAATATTATCCTAAGGTATTTTGCTTTGCTGGTGCTGCAGTGAAAAATAAGCAAAGCAAATCGTGCCACGCACAGGCTGTGTAAATTTAATGAAGTTAACTTTTTTGTATATTGCAATTTCCTCATCTTTAAAATGGGACCATCAGTCCTAAGTACCTTGTAGAATTGCTGTAAGGTATAAATTGGGTTAGTTCACATAATACTCAGCACAATGCTTTGTTTAAATTAGTCATTTTAGTTTTTAAATTTCACCCATGTAGCCTATCCTTCCTCACACTTAGGTAATTCTTGTTCATCTGTAAAGTCTTATTCAAGTGTCACTTCTACAAGGCTATTTTGATATCCTCCCACCCCAGAGCTAGCCACTCACTTTTTTTATGTAACTAACACACTTTATTATCTAACTCTATTATTGAAGTATTTTCACCAAACCTAAGTCAATTATTTACATTTTCTTTCTCGAATTCTAAAGTATAGTTTGGAAAGCAAAAATTGTCTTTATCCATTTCTATATGTCTTATTGCTTGAATTTTTTAAAAATTGTGAATTTTTGATGTGAATTCTTTTTCTTTTTAAGAAATAAAATAAGCCAGGTGTGATGTAGCACACCTGTAATCCCAGTGACTTGGGAGTCTGAGGCAGGAGGATCACAAGTTCAAGGCCAGTCTCAGCAACTTAACAAGGTCCTAAGCAACTCAGTGAGACCTTGTCTCAAAATAAAAAATAAAAAGGGCTGGGGGTATGGCTCAGTGGTTAAGTGCTCCCTGAGTTCAATCCCCAGTACAAAAAAAAAAGGAGAAAGAAAGAAAATCCACCATGAAGGATCCCTTGAACCCACATATATAATACTTAGCAATCAAGATCATGACAATACAAATCATTTATTTGTGTGAGAACAAAGAGGAGAAAGGAAACATGGGAGTTATTTTTAATATAAAGTCTTTTGGGACTTAATATCTTTTTTTTCAATGAGCAAAACTTAAATGTATAAGTTTTAAAGTTAAAACTTATAAACATCATCCCTATTTTATCAGTCTATTGATATATGATGAGTAAAAATTACTCTAGCATTGATAAAATGAAATGTCATATAGCAAATGATCTTTTATTTAGTCTTTTATAAGGTTTTTATTTTAAAGTCAAGGAAGCCAAATGGTAGTTTCCAAGTTAAATACAACTTCTGAATACCTTTTGTGGGTAATCTCTCTCTGCTCTCCTGAGACACCCTGCAAGCTCTAGGAACTACAACTCTGGGAGGGAAGTGGGGAGAAGTCAAAGCAACACACATCCTAAAAGTGTAATCACAGACAACTACTGTCCCCAGAACTGTCTGCATGCCTCTCTGAGTGACAGGTTCATTATGTTATCTTGCCTCAGCCCTCCGTTTCAGCTCTGAAAAATGTTGCAGGTAGAAGAGCTGGAAAAAGAAAAAATGCTTCCCATGTTCATTTTTACTGTGCCCAAGCTTTGCCAGCCTGAAAGTCATCCTGGCCTTACCTCTGTTTTTCAGTGGAGGCAAAGTAGGGTGGAGGTCTTTATTACATTCATTCCTTTCTGTGCAGCATTCAATTGATCTTCTTTGATGAGGAATAGGAGTGTCCTAAAATTGAACCCAAACAGCTTTTAGTGAGTCTCCTCTAAATTTCAAACTCAGTTCATCTAAAATATAAGAAACGATTACTAAGAGAACTCATTTAAACATCGAATAATTTTATACAAACATCTTGAAAATGTTAGTTTGTATCAGATAATCCATTTCAAATTATTGTATATTATTGCAACTTCTGCATTTCAATCAAATTACCACTATATTTGTAATAATCAGTGTCCATAAACTGAGGAAGAAGTCTTGGTTTAATGCAATTAGATAAAATGGGTTTTGAAGAATATGAACTAATGACACACTAACAAGAAGTTAACAAAAATAAAAAGGACATTTCAAAAAAAAAAGGGAGAATTGGTCCAATGAGAATTTTTAATTACTTTCCAGATTCCTAAAAATGGGCTAGCCAGGAAAAATAACTATTTTGTCTTACTTGAATCTTGGTAGAAATACAGCCAATGCAAAATTACAAATGAAATCGGGTTATCTTCCTTACCCGACACTGAAAATCTGAACCTTCTAGTCCTAGACACCCAGAAGTGACCACAGGCATCCCAGAGTCGTCTTCCTCTATCATTGTGAAACAGTATCCGTCTGTGCTAAAAGCAAAACCGGCAGAAAGACACAGAGAGAGAGAGAGAGAGAGAGAGAGAGAGAGAGAGAGAGAGAGAGAGACAGGTGGGGAGGCAGAGGGAGAAAGTCTGTGAGTTCAGGGAAAGCAAAATACATGACATGTATCATTTGCTTCATTATAAATAAGGAGAAAGTCAATGATCTTTATAGGTTACACACTTTGGAGAATCTCAAAACTTCCCTTTTATGAAAGTAAATTTAATTATCATAGGAACATTTAGTGATATCTTCTCTACCTAGAAATTTGTGCAACGGGATGTAAAAATGTCCAAATAACGCGTATCATTTATTAACATGGATAACCATATATACCACTGATGAACTTTGGCCCTTCACAGATACCACTTGCCTGGACAAATCAAGACATAAAACTCTGAGGAAGTAGTACCATCCTCACCTTTTATGTGAGAAAACTGAGGCTCAGAGAACATGAGTCATACAGTCAGTGAGAGAAGGCAGGCAGGAGTTGGAACCCATAAAGGTGAATATTTAGGCCGGCTCCCCTTGGCCTGAGGTAGTGAAGTAAACTTATTATCACTGAGGTATGACAACTACAGACCGGTAGGAGCCAGTCCAGCAGGGCACATCTTAGGTAGCAAAGACTCCACCATTGGGTTCCCCTGCCTCTGGGTTGGCCAGAAGTTTGGCTTAAGCAGTCTGGGCTTATGCTGGGAGTGGATAAGGGCAGACAACAGAAAGAAGGGGTTTTGACAAAAGAATCAAAAAAAGCAAATTTTTAATTTTTATGTTTTCCTAGGTTAACATTCACTAATGTCATATTTTTTTAACAAGAGAGAAAATAGTAATATTTCTTCTATTTTACAGATGAAGAAATTGGAGATAAGAGAGAATACTACACTTATATAAGGTTGAAAGATAAATATTTGCAAAACCAGGGTTTGGATAAAGGCTCTCTTACTTAATTCCTGCATAATTTTTTGCTATCCTGGGCCTAAAATGAAAAACAAGAACTGGTAAAAATATAACTATTTGAGAACAGACATTACTGTCTTCACAAGTTTGGGTAATAAATGCCAGTAGACTCCCAGTGTAAGCCATAAGCCACTATTGCAGGTCTTCTGAATCAAAGTACTAAAACATATCTCCATTCTTTTCTTATGCATATGCATGCTCAGTGTCCAAGATGGAGATGACAATAGTCCTGGAAGGTCAGGGAAGGAAGCTTGGAGCATATATTAACTGTGATTTGTAGTTTGTCTGTTCTGTCTTAGCAGTAGCAGCATTCTGCCATACATAAGCCCTTCAGTTATCACCAACATTTTTAGAAGTGTTTACTCAGCTTATCACCCTTAAGCAATCCAGCATGCCTCAGTTTATAAGAAGTAGCTGAGCAAAGTTCACATATACTAATGAATGGCTTGGAAGGGTCAATGATAAATACCTTTGTCAGACGAAGGTCAAATGCATGAATACTACTGAGAAGAAAAAGATTCTCTCAATAGCCTGTGTTCTAAATTCTCTGGGGCTTTTTAGCCAATTCACTAAAATTGCCAGGAAAATGTAAACCATATAGATGCTGAAGGTAATAAATAAGTGTTCCTTAGAAATTTAAACAATTTGAGTGAAAAGTACTCATATGGTTTTTAAAATTCTTTTCCTACATACTTAGACAATATATAACCTACATTTCTTATCTAAAGCAAGATTCAGGAACTATCAGAAATAAGCCATCCTAATTTTCTGACATTAGTAATTCATAGGGGCTAGAGCAGTCAATGTAATATATTAAATCTACAGAATAGTTTCTCCTTAATCATGAGTTCCCTTTAATCAAAGACTGAAAATAAGGACTTGTAAATTTATAAGAGTAAAAAAAGTGGGGAGGGGTGCTGTGCACGGTGGTGGCATTTGCCTGTAATCCCAGTCACTCAGGAGGCTGAGGCAGGAAGATCACAAGTTTGAGGCCAGCATAAGCAACTTATGGAGGCCCTCATCTCAAAATAAAAAATAAAAAAGGCTGGGGATGCAACTCAGTGGTGGTGCAAACCTCTATGCTTATTTTCTTGACACCAGTATTGCAAAAAAAAAAAAAAAGAATTAAAATGGCAATAGAAAAAATCAGATAAAGATGTTGGCAAGTACGGTTGTAATGCCCTAGAAAATACAAAACTGAAGGAGAATAACTCAAGCTTTAAATGTACACCTCCTTGTTTGCAAAGAGAGGAATCAAAAAATATATAAAAGGATGGTGAAAGAGAGAAAGACTCTTGAGAAAAGAATTCATTTGCCATCAATATAAATTCAGAAAGGAATATTAGTTGAAGAACAAGAAAGAAGGTGACAGAGCCATTTTGGGGCATATTATCTGCAGCAAGCTAAAGTAATTTATAAATTCCTCACTGAAACTGCTGTCTAGCAAGGAACATTAACTGGAAACTAGCTTGAGAATCACAGGAGAGCTTTTAATTCTCAAACAAGCATAAATCTAAACCAACCTATGCTCCAGAGTCAAAGCTGATCAACTCTGCCCACCCTCAGGAGCTGGTCGCTGGATGTCACATACAGAGGGCAACTGACTCCTCCCATTGGCTTATTGATGGCTGCCTGGGTGACCTATTTAAACTTAGTTATATGTGTGCAGATTATCAGCCTCATTCCTACAGTGTTGATAGTGACAGGAAGAGGAAATGTAGAATCATAATGGAAATCAAAATAGAAATAATTTTAAAACCAAATCAAAAGTAGTGAGATGTATACATTAATATAAGATGAATCACGGTGAGAGTGGTGATCATGAATTTTTAAAAATAGAAGAACAGATGTATCATTTTTAAAATTCTGCCACCTCTGGGTCACAGGCAAAGAAAAGTACACAACGAAACAGGATAGCACTTGAGAGCATACAGAGTGTTGCTGATGGATGCCTCACGGAACACCAAATTCATAAAAAAGCAAAGAATGAGAATTCAAAGGTTACATGAGGTCACAGCAGGGAAAATATAGCTCAACTCTCCAGATGGTTCTGCAGGATTAAGGCTTCTTAAATTTGACCAATATTCTAAGAGCAAAGGGGTGTCTGGAACATCTAGAAAGATCATCAAGGGAGTAACCATTTCAAGAGATTTTTCAGTGTGTCCAAGTGAACATAAACCAACAAGAAAGGAGTGCACCTGCTTTAAAGCTTCGAGGGACTAAATGATATGCTTTTTAGGTAGATATGCAAGTAGAGACTGAGGGTTTTTAATTCCTCTCATTTCTGGTCACATCAGTTTATAATCCTCATTCATGAGCTTTGCAGATGGTGAAAAACTTCATAAAGTCATTAAAAACTGCACTGACAGCATTTTGATTTAATGTGTGTACAAGGCTCATCCAAGCCTTGGTCCCTTCACCTCTATTCTTCCACTAAGACCTCAGGTCTCTCTTTTGAAAACCCAAGGGCTACTCACAGCCACCAAGCTGAGAAGGCACTATCGTAAAACTTTTGCTCTAACTAGTTTAAATCTTTATATAAAGATTAATGTCACTGTGAAATAATTTCTAAAAGTGTATCTGCTTCGCTCAATCAAGTGAATGAAAATTTAAAAGTATTATTTCAAATTTAGTCTCTACAAAAAATAATTATATAAATGAGTGCAATATGTTCAATATCACCTACCCAAAGAAATAACAGTTCTCTTGACTGATCAATATTTATCCTTCCCTCTTTTAGTTATAACGCTAGAATTCATAAAGTTAGTCTGAATGTGATTGTTAGAATGGATCTCAGAAGGCTGGTTAATATTGGGTCATTTGTAAGCAAATGCTTGAGAGCATCCTATCTTCAAAAATATCAATTTCATATGCAAGGGAATAAAGTAAGTTTTCAAAATTTCCTGTCACAGGTAAACTCAAAAGAGGTGCACAACTTGTCAAGTTGCTATTTAAATCACGCACATTTCAGTCCATTGACTAAAACAGCTGGAAATGCATAGAGCTTTTCGTTAATGGTGGTTCATTTGATATTTGTTGAGAATACTATGACTCTGGCTGAGTTATGGCAAGAATGTCAGGGCAAGAACGACGGGGCCTTTGCTTTTGAGCTAAGTGACATTAGAGTCACTAATACAGGCCACCAAATCCTAAAAGAAAAAGAACAGCATTCAATGGAGCAGTAGGAATAGAAATCACAAGCTACCTAAGTGTTTTCTACCAATTAGAAAGTTTTTTTAAAAAAAAAAAAAAGATGAATAGCAAAGCAACAGAATTCTAGAGATTTGTTTCCCTTCCTTAACTTCTTAGATAGATTCCCATACAAATGGAAAGGAATGGAATGAAATATATATGGCTCTACTGTGCCCTCCTCTGGCTTTTTCTCTGAGAGGGCTCTGCAGTTGGGAGGTGCAGTTGCATTAATGACAAAGCCCCAGTGGGGATTGCCTTTTTCTATTCTGTCCTCAAGAACATGTAACTAGCATACACCCCTCCTCCCTGGTCAACACACTAAACCACTTAGTATTGTGTTTATTTTTTCTGACGTATAAGACTTCTCCACTCTGTCTCAGTTTATACACTCATCAAGTACTCATATATTTTTACCTCCACCACCCTGTACAGATCCCCACTGTCTCTTTGAAGGACTTCTCTCCTCTCTTAACCCTTTACCCACTGCACACAGTATTGCCTGATAGATTCTACATTTTCTTGCTTTGATCAATAACCTTCAATGGTTCTCTATGTACCATTTTAAAGAGCCCTACACTATTGACTTCTCATTAAGCCCAATAACAAACTGGCCTCATTTGACATTCTCATTTCTGATTAACGAGAGGCATAAAAGGAGAGTTATCTTTCATAAAAGGCTCTGTCAGCAAATTTGAAATCACATACTCTTCCAACTAAATAAATTTCTAATGAGGGACCCACCATTCTTCTAAGTGCAATAGTTCGAAATCAGAATGCTCTCCTGGAAAAGAATCATAAAGTTCAATGTTTAGGTGGCCTGGGCAACAGTGGCAAAAACTGG